CCTCCAAAGCCAGTGAATTTTCAACTGTGCTATGTGAGCCCTCCAAGCCCGGCTGTAAGACTGAGCACACTACCTGTTATCTGGGGAAGAATTTCAGAAAACAACATTTTGAGTAGACCCTTATGTGACAAAAGGCTCAAGGGCTCAAGATATTTTGATGCTCAACTTTGATCTTCTAGTTAAATTCCTTATGATGTGGAATCCTCTGAGGCAGCCCTGGCCACAAGGAAAGGGAACAAAAGGACATTCGCCTTCAGTGGAGAGTGGTGCAAGAGAAGCGGAGAAGAAAACTTGCCCTAGAACTATGGCTAACTAGAGGCGTCAAAGACACAGGAAGACACCAGAAACAGAGAAAAAAATGGGCAGGAAACCCAGGTCACATTCACGATGATAAAAATGCAATTAACTTGAGCCAGGTTCCTCCAGCCCTCAGCAGTGACCTACCCTTTGGGTGTGTGGCTGTGTTTATCGGTTCTGGGCTAAGGACATGGGGCCAAGCATTTGCCTTTATTAATGTCTGCCTGCTGGCTGCAGGGTATGAGGTTGATGTGATGGGGTGCGGGGGGGGAGGTGCACTAAGGTCTTCTTTGAATGATTTATAAAGTGCAATTCAGAAGCCTTCACTTTGCCTGCATCCAGGGTATTGACCAGTATATAAATCCATGATCTTAAATGCTCTGGGGCTTTGAGGCAAGTCTTAAATCCAGGGGAGGGGGCTGTGGGAAGAATCAGGCTCGAACTTCTAAATGAGGACCTTCTGGGTTACAGGCTATGGATGTGGAGGTCCTGGGTGTTGAATGATGAGATGTAGAAGCTACCGAGAACAATTGATAAACGTCTGAGGTCAACGACATTTTTTCCAGCTATTTAAATTCACTAATTAAAATCAGCCTCGTTCATAAAGGGATTGGGTGAGGTTAGTATACCCCATTATAACACACATCGTTGTCTCCCATTCACAGGAATCTTGTCTGTTTTGTTCCTTGCCCTACCTCCAGCTTTTACAAGGATGCCCGCGTACACCAGGCGATACCTGGTACTCAATAAATATTTGTCGAAGAAAATGAATGTGCACAAAAAACAAAGGAGGAGCCATGTCAACCTCAGACAAAGAAAAGAGTTTCTTCCATGGCCAAAACCCACCCTTGTTCTTTCAATTGCCTGATATCAATTGTCCATCGAAGGCAGCTAGAAAGCCAAGTCTCAGACCCCATGAGCACGTGCATAATGCGTGCCCTGCCGGGTCTGCCGGAGGGGGCTTGCTCCTCACTGTGCATTTGCTATTGCCTGGACCTAAGGAAACATGACCACGGGGAGATCATGGCTTCAGGTCCAACTTTTCAGTTGTTCGAGTTGCCGAGGTGTTTCTTTTCCTTAAAACACTCCCAATGCAAAGCACCGCAGCGTCGGGGGAAGGGACGTGGTTGGTGTCCGCAGTCAACCGGTCCGAGAACTGGGCATGCGCAGATGCTCCTGTGTGGACTGGCGCAGGAGAAATGGGGCAAGTAAGGGCATAGCGGGCTGCTCGGCCGCCAAACATCTGGCGGAGCCGCGAAGAGGACAGCAGTTAGGTTTTTATTCTTTTTAGCATCGTGTTCAATTGGCTATGAAGCCAGGGATGGTGCGATTGAATTACGAAGTATTAAATAACAGTCTAGCTGCTAGCAGATAGTCAAGGTGTTTGGCTGGATTCTAATAGGCAAAGCAGACTTGGAAAACATTACGTGGAAAAGACATCCTCCTCTGTGCTAATATTTCGCCTCATTTAACCCTGGGAGATGGGGCCATGGGGTTAGATCTCTTTTCGAAGAGGTGATTCCCCTGGAAAACAGGGTGTTTCCTTTGGAAGGGGAATCGGCGCTTCCTGAAATGTCAGTGGGATCCAGAGAGTGGCCAGCTGGAACGTTTTATTGTCGATTCTTGTTTTCTTGCTTGTGGCTTTTCTGCCTGGCTTCCCCCACCTTCTCCTCCACGTCCAGACCTTGGCCAGGCTAGCCTGTTCCATGAGGATGTTACATTCGAGCTAGTTTCAGGGCCACGGTAAATGCGTCTGGCAGGAGAGAGAGACTCAGCTTGCCAAGTCAAGGGTGGCAGAAAAGCCACTTCTATATCGCCCTTTGGTCAAGCCCCTCTGTTATACTGGGTGAGTGGGAAGTTCAACCCTGGTTATTTTGGGGGCCATGTTCCCAGGAGTGTTTAACTCGGAGGGGACAAGCCAGCCCTGATTTGTAGCGTTTGCTGATTTCTGTGACATAAATATACCCTTCGTGGCTGATTTTGAGCGACCAGTGTGATGTGAGTGAATGCGGGGCTGGGAAGAAATTTGCGGTAGCTCCATTTATACTCTTCCCATCAGACAGAAATAACCTCAAGAGCATAGATAACAACAGGGAAATGTATGAAATCGTTAGGAAATGATGAGTTTCAAGTTTCTATTGCCTTTGTTTTAATATCATGTATTTAATTGTACGTTTACACAATTTAATTTTTAACAATAGCTGTGTTTGGTAATTGGCTTGCAAATTTCCTGAAAATTTAGCAATTGGTTCTGGTTACAAGCGGGCTCACCCCTGCTTGTTGCCCTCCTTGGGCTGGGTCGGGTGAGGCTTGGTGTCTGGGACTTAACACAGCTCAAAGCATCTCTTGGTACTTCTCCTCTCGGCTCTTGTCTACTCTAAAGATTATTGTGGAAATTCTCAGTTCTCGGGCTCTAGAGATTCTGGTCTGTAGCTGGGGATCTGGTTTAGAATTATCCACCTCAAGGCTGGTAATATTCAGCTGCTAAGAACTGACATGGTCTTCATGGCTGGGTATGGCCAGGGTCTGTTCCTAGTGATGGATGCCACGGCATGCAGATGGTTCTGTATTTTGGACCTCACCTCTGATCCAGGTTCCCTCAGCACCATTCCTTCTGAAGCCTGGGATATCCTCCAAGCACAGCCATGGGGCCGAGCACAAATCCCATTGGAGGTTCATCTTCAGCCAGGATGCTGTCCCCACTCAGATAACTCTTGGCCTCCTGACCCTACGTCTTCCCTGTCCCTGGGGCGTTAGGCTTCCCAAGGCATCAGCCTCAAAAGCCCTCCAGCCTGTTTTCCAACACTGTGGAGGCCAGCATGTCCACAACTAACAGAAGAGTCCCTGCGGATCCTAGCTCTCAATTCTCACAGCCACAAACCCTTGAGTTTGGCTTCATGTGAGACTCTGAGACTGAGACCCATCAGCCCCCTTGAGCCGGGAACGTTCTCTGCAGCATTATCTCGACCTTGGCTATTACGTTTGTGTGGCCAGGCTGTCAGAGAATTCCTCAGACTGACTGGCTTAAACAACAGGCATTTTCTCCCCGTTCGGGAGGCTGGAAGCCCAAGATCAAGGTGTCAGTAGGGTTGGTTTCTCCTGAGGCTTCTCTCTCCTTGACCTGCAGAGGGCACCTTCTCGCTGTGTCCTGGCATGGCCTTTTCTTGTGAATTTATATTCCTGGTACCTCTTCTTCTTCTTATAAGGAGATCACTTATATTGGTTAGGGCCCTAACATTATGACCTCATTTAATCTTAATTACCTCTTTAATAGTCTTGTCTTTACAGTCACATGGGGGGGGGTAGGTCTTCAAGATAAGAATTTTAAAAGGAACACAATTCAATTCATAACAACTATTGAGTACTTGGAATATGTTTGGCCCAAATTGATACGTTCTCTAAGGGTAAAATACACTTGGGTTTTTCATCATCGTTTTTCATCACTTTTCATCATGTGTTCAAAGCAGAATGTAAAGTGTCTCATTAATACTTTTTCTTACTGATTACAGGTTGAATGATAATACCTCGGGTATATTGGGTTAAGTAAAATATATAATTAGAATTACTTTCACCAGATTCACTTTACTTTTTGAGTGCGGCTACCCATGGCTTGCATTATGTTTCTGCTGGACAGTGGGTGCCCAGAGACCCCCCAGAGCTGACACGGCCATTCCTCCCATGGTCAGTGGTGAGAGATCATTCTCTGGCGTCCTGTCTTGACCCCCGCCCTAGTCCCTTTCACCCTTCCCTTCTCCCCGCCTTCTTTGCCTGCACCATCCCTCCTCCTGTGGGGCTCAGTCCTCCAGTTCCATCAAGTTGTGCTGCAGGACACGTCAAGGGTGGGGTGCGGCTGGGCCGTGGAGGAGGAGGAGCTTCCGGATGGTGGAGGTGAAGAAAGGAAACGTCTCGCTGTGATTTGCGCTGTGGTCTGGCCTGAGCGGGAGACGCTCAGATAAACAGACCTTGCTGCCTGCATTACCCTCCTGGGCATGGCCTTGTGCAGTTTTTGCTAAGAGAGCCTCCATCTCTTACTCTGCCTTGAGTTGCTTGGCCCAGGGCCCCATAAATGATCACACCTTGGATCCTTCCAGCTCCCAGGGAGGAGGTAAGGGGAGAAGGAACCAATCCCCTCTCACCGCCTGGGGATGAATATGGCCCTAGATCTGAGTTTGCTCACACTCTCATGGAGGGAAGGGATTGGTGGGCCGGGGAAGGGCACTGTATTAAGGCCATACAGGGGCATTTCACCCGCGGCTTCTAACAGCCTCACATTATATTCATTTCACAGGTGAGGACCCAGAGACTCGGGGAGGTTAAATGAGTCCTCCAGTGTCACCAGTGGGAGGTTGCAGGGCCCGTACTGAGACCGAGCCTACCCGACTCCCAGCTACCATGCTGCAGACCTGGAGTGAAAAGAAACGACTTGGAGAGTACGGGGACGCTCTTGAAGTGGACTCGGGTCCAGGCGGGAAAGCAGAGGGAACTCTAGGCAGGGGACTGGCACGCACGAGTGGGGACAGAAGTCTGGTACAGGTGCTCTTTGGAAAAGTCCAACCAGGAAATGCATCCTTACAGCGTTGCCCTTCTGTCAGTCAGGGTGGGGGCAGGGCACCGGGACCTGGCAAGGACCTGTGGCCGCCACCCCGGAGCCTGGTCATCCCTGTCAGGCTGTGTCTGGGTTATTCCATGCTGGGCTCACCCACCGGCTGCGCATCAGGTCTTTTTTGAGGTTCATTACTTCCTTCTCCATATACTTGATGTTCTTCAATGACTTCTCTGGGATCTGATGGGAAGCCAAGAAGTGAAAGAAAAACACGTTAGTACAACTGTTACAAGTGGATCCAGGCTGCAGGAGGCTCACGTGTTCATCTGAGGTGTCTGTTCAGGTTGGAGGGGGTCTGGGCAGCCCAGCGTCCTTTCCACACCAACGAGGGGCATGTGGGACAGTGGGAATAGCAAGGGCTTTGGAGACAGGCAGACCTGAGCTCTGATCCTGGTTCTGTCCGGTGACTGGCTGTGTGACCTTGGACAAATTACTCCACCTCTCTGGGCCTCGGTTTCATTGGCAGAACCGGGGCCTAATTCCTACCGTGTTGCGACAATGAAATTAATTGCCAAATTCCCGACGCACAGCAAGCATTTGGAAAATGAGGCTTCTCTTATTAGTACTATCTTCAAAGAAAAAGTGACCTCAGGGTGCCTTGTTGAACTGGTCAGGCTTCACTAGGACCCGGACTTTGTAACGTTTCCTTTATTATTTAAACCAGTGTGCGTTGGCTTTTCTGTTTCCTGCAACCATAAAATTGCTCTTTAAAGTACGCTCCCCGGCGTGCCAAGGCAGACTAGTCCTCTTACCCCCTCTCACTTCCAAATCAGATGCCCCCTGTCCTGGTGCGTTTTGCAGTGAAGGCAGTGGGATTGGCCATGTTGAGCTCGAGCAGGAAAATCAGGTTGCCTCTTCCTCATCCTTCTCTTCTTTTACGCACCCCACTCACTCTTTCCTTCAGGACCAGAGTGACTTTCTTAAAATACATTGTGAATGAAACATACTTATGGACAAACACACACACACACACACACACACTCAAATTTCCTCACCAGATAATTTGAAAATATGTGATCAAAACCCTGCTTGATGTCATCGCCATGTACCCATCCCTCTCATAAACGTCTCGTTTCACCCTCCTCAGGAAGAAACGACAACACTGTCCACATTTCAGGCATCACCCCCACCCCCCAAATCCCACCTAATTTCAGTTGCCTGGGCACCAGGAATTCACACTATTGGAACGGAGTGAATCTGTATTGACCTAATGGGTGCCGAACAATCTAGAGCAGCAAAGCGAATTGTGTCCTCAACTTGACACAACACTTTAGCAGGACAAGAGCCTCCCCACACGCCCCGCAATCATGTCAGCATTTCAGTGGATTCTCAGGAAACCATCTTCTTTATGACCATTGTTCAATTGCAGTGGTAATAAGCTGGCAGTAATAATGGGCTTTGAGTGAGGGCAGTCTGCTTGTCAGGGGGTTTACAAACACCATTCGATATGGACACAAGCCAGAATTTACAGGGCCTCCAAGAATCCCTTCTGATGGCACTACCACCACATGGACGACAAGCCTTGGGATACATTTCCTTTCACCCGGCAGCTCCAGTTCTAGCCAAGGAAACCATGCGTAGGGATGAAAAGGCGCCTGTGAGGATGTCTATAGCAGCCGGTGAACAATAGTGAACATCTCCGTGTGAGCAGTAGGCACTGGGGGGATAAATCGCAGTCTCTCCAGACAGTGGTATGTGATGCATTTGAATTTGGTGCTAGTACTTATTTATTGTGGCTATCAATGTACATGTTACAAAATATGAAGTACTTAGATCATGGAGAGTTTTAAGACTTATATTTATAAAAATCGATAGAAATTTCTAAAACTTTGTATAACCTGACATAAATTATGTTTGCCATCGATACATGGCAAAGTTTATGCTTAATTATACAACAAGCTGGAAGGAAATATAACAAGCTGTCAATAGCAATATTATCTCAGGGCATTTGAATTCTACATAAATAATAATTTTCAACGTGGGGTTATCTTTTTCCCTTAATTTTAAACTAATTTACATATATTACTTCTGTAGTAAAATAATAGTGTTTTTCATGTTTATAAAGCAATTCTGACTAATTCTACCAATATAAGCAAAATGTGATTTTTCAATGCTATTTTAAGTTGAGTAATCTAAATGTCGGAAATGATGAAAGTTAATAGTTTATTGTAATGCACGGTATTAAGCACACTGCAGGGTCTAGGCAGGAAATCAGAGCTCATGCGGGTAGTTCAATTCGGGGAATTTAACTTAGGGGAGCAGGTCCAAAGGAGTTGCAAGAGCTGAAAAGCCAAGTTAGTGATGGCCAGGTAAGCTCGAGACTAGCCAAGAAGGAAGGCTCCACCCCCTCCCCGGAAGCCAGCTGGAAAGGGTGCTGGGAAATGCAGTTCACAGGGACCAGCACCCTGTGGGAGCAGGAAATGGAAATGAAGGTCAAAAAAAGGATTATGGTTATAGTTTATGCAAATACTTGGCTTCAGGTGCCGACCAGCTATTTTGGGACTCTCAAGCTGGTTTCCCCTTTGCAGATGGTAACTTTGTGTATTCCTTATCTTTTGATCCTAAGCCCGAGACCCCCAGAATTTTCCACGGCTTAGACGCATATCCAGAGTTCTTCCTCCCCACTCCGTCCCCTCAAAATCACTAACGAAACCCACGTGTCTAGGGAATCCAGGACCTCCTACTTCTGCCGGCTTCTTTCCCGAGAAGTGCTGTGTACTGCAGATCTGTGTGGCCCACCTCCTCTTGCATCAGAACTGTGTGTTCTATGCCTCACGCCCTTCAGGTCCTTATCGTTGATAAACAACCTGGTGCTAAGTATTTCCTCCCTGACACTGATGAATGTGTCTCCCGACCCAAGTAACACATTTGCAATTCAACTCTACATTTAAGATTGTATTTTGGTTATGAAACTAACTAATGAACACGGTAGAAAAATCAGGAAAAGATAAAAATTTAGGAGAAAATAAAAGCCGATTGGATGTCCCTGATCTTGCTCTCTCTGACTGCTCCCGGCCAGCCGGGTTTCATAGAAGCCATCGTAATGCAGCTGACTTCAGTGTTCTGTCCTTGCATCCCCTGGGAGTGCCACTGGCCCTAAGAGCTTTCTGTTTTTCCAGTGCTTTGCAAAATGTGGGGGATGCCTCCATTTTTTTGTTTCCTGGAAAACAGAGTTGAATCTCTGGCCTGTCTACCTTTTTTCTACAGCAGATGGCCTTTCTCTGACCCATCTGTTAAGGGGTCTTGGGAGCAGGACTGTGAGAAATACCAGGTGTTCAGTCACGAGTCAGGGTAAACACTGATATATGTGTGTTGGGTTGGGGGGGGGGGAGAGGAGAGAACTCAGACAGACTCATAGAAGACTTAGGTGGGAATGATTTGGGGGGGAGGTATATTCACATTAATATTCATGTGCTGGGCCCTAATGTGGCTCCGTAGTTAAAGTGTCAGGCCGAGCACCAGGGACATGGGTTCAATTCCCAGTCAAGGGCACATACCTGGGTTGCATGTTTGGTCAAGGCATGTGCAGGAGGCAACCAATTGGTGTGTCTCTCTCACATCAATGTTTCTCTCTCTCTTCCTCCCTCTTTCCCACTCTCTCTAAAAATCATTGTAAAAATAACCTCGGGTGAGGATTAACAACAACAACAAAATTCATGTGCTGGAACTGTTTAAAAAATTCATGTGCTGGTGAGAAGTGGGAGGTGCAGGAATACAGGGAGAGAGCTTGCTTTGTTGTCTGAAAGGCTCAGGTTGGCACCCTAGCTCTGCACTTAGGTGTTGCATCATCGCAGGCAAGTTACATACACACCTCCCTGAGTCTGTTTCCCCATCTGTGAAATGGCGCTAAGGCTGTCCTACCAGTAACATTATTGTTCGTCTATGTGCCGTACAGGATCCCAAGTGCAGGAGTCCATTTAGACCTGGTCGTATTATTCTTCCAATTTCATAGAGGAGCCACCTGCGGCTTCAAACACCACGCTATTAGTAAGAGGCTGAGTCTGGATTTGAACTCAAATTCAAGTGACATCAAAGCACGTGTTCGTAATTCTACCTCATTCTGCCCCCGCTGCATCATGTGTAGTGGGGGTGAAATAAGGGAGAGCAGTTGCCAGTTATTAATGTACAGATATTACCTCCAAAGCATGCCCACTGAATTGTGTTAGATTTTAGTCACAAACATTTTTATACGACAGAAAATCAAGATGATTTGCCGAAGGCCATGGCCGGAAAGCCAATCTTTTAAATATCTGTGGTTCTCTTTTCTTTTATGAAAGAGTGTTCCCAACTCATCTTTGTTATTTCTTATAATATGATCTACTTCCTAGAATCAGATTGAGATGGAAATGAATTCCTGCTAAATGTACTTGGGCTGATACAGACATCAGGGGAACAGCTGGGATGTTCTGTCGAGCGGTGAGGGGGGAGGGAGGAGCAGGCAGTAGGACGAACACATTTCAGACGCATTATGGAGAGGCTGTAAGGCACGAGGTAGGGAGTTGGCACAAGGTAGAGAGTTGGTAGACTCCATGGTGAGCCCAGGGATCTTGGCTTGCACACTGATACTTAAGCCTTTGTTGGTGCCATGGTAGTGAGAGTGAAGTGTCTGTCATAAAGATAAGGCAGGTACCTACCTATTCCCATGCAGACCCTCCAAGCTGAAATATGATGAAGTATGCTATTGAATTCTTTTAAAAAATTTTAATCCTCACCTGAGGGTATGGTTTTATTGATTTGAGAGAGAGAGGAAGGGAAAGGCTGGGGAGAGATAGAGAAACATCGATTAGTTGCCTCCTGTTAGTTGCCCTGACCAGGGGTTGACTGGGATTGAACCCGAGATCCTATCATCTATCTGAGTGTCAGTGTGGTGTATCCCACCATCAAAGGGACCTTTAACTCTTATAAAACACTTCCCATATCTGTCGCCAGCAGCATCCACTCTGGCGGAGAACGCCCCACCATGAGAGCAGCTGAGAGCGGCTCACCTCGTGCGGGGTGGGGAGACTGGGGGAGGGAGTGTTGTTCCCATTGTTTTACTTAATCCTCATGCCAACCATGAGCTATCCTCACTCCTATTTTATTGAAAAGGAAGTCCAGGATCTGAGAGATTAAGCCACTTCTTCAAGGTCACACAGGTAGTAAGAGGTGGAGCTTCTTTGTGAGTGGGGTGGGCTGTGGAA